CGCCCTTGTATACACAAATATATACGTATTTGCTCATTAAAATACCCGAGAAATTCAAGTATGCTCGACTTCAAACATTTAAATCAAATCCTGAATTATATCCTCAAGATGTTTGAACATGTTGGAACTATTCGAACAGCTAATCTGCTATATCTTCCATTTAATTTTATTTCGTTTTTTATAAAACAGTATAACCGCAAATAATCATACACAATATAATCTTCGAATTTTTTGAAATGGCTAGCTTTGTTCGTTTCAAATATTCGAACAACAAAATACCTGAAGCATCGAGCAGTTCGAAAAATATTTGATACATTTAAATTAATATTGTGTATTTAAACTGATAATGGTTAGGATATTTTAAGTGCTGAATTTAATATATTGGTTGGCATAAATTCCCAAGTTTCCGTGAAATCTAAAAGCATTCATATATAGTAACAGATATAAGAGCAGTATCTTATTTTTAAAAGCATATTTGTCAAATTAGACATTGACATAGTTAAGCGCATAAAAATTCAACAACTTCACTGGCTTGGACATGTCGTGCGAATGGTAGAAAGTGCTCTAGCTAGAAAGAAGTTTGATTCAGTAACCGCAAGTGAAAAACCGCAGTAGAGGACGTCCGCAACTTCGGTGAAAGGACAAGGTGACCAACGATTTGGGGGCGCTCGGTCCTATCAACTGGTGTCAGCAAGCTACTAATCGGACTGACTGGCGGAGGCTATTCGACGCGGACAAGGACGACGCACGTCTGCAATGAGCAACTGAGTAGGTAAGTAAGTCAAATAAGACTAAAAATAAGACTTTTATTTCATTTTATATTATACTGTGACAACCTGTGCAGTTTAAAATTATAAGAATTTAAATTGTTTTATATTTGCCATTATCCATACAAAAAATGAATATATTTTTCTATATATGCTTATACGGATATGACGCATATGACATATGGCTTTATGATATATACATCCATAAAAAATCAACCGGATATAATATGCGCTTATTATACACAAACTTCTATGCCTTGCTTCCATCAAGGATTAAAATATAAATTCTCAGCAGCATTTACTAGAGCAATTAAATCAGGAAATGCTTCATAATTTTTTTTTTTCACACAAAAAATTATAAAGCAATTAAATAAAAAGCTAGGTTAAAACATTTAAATTTTCAAAAGAAATAATTCATTTGTAATGTTCAGTTTACCATTTCTCATTACGCACTATTAACTTTCATTTGAAGAGGAAGTCGTGCTTTTCAGAATTGTTTATTCATTGACCACTGCACTCCTTTTGGAGGTCATCCTGTTCAGCTTATGAAGAACGTTAAACCTTGGTATCACAATGGTCCATTATTTGACCTTAAGTGAATTTTGCTCTACAAGACCGCCTCTTTAATCTAACCTAATCTAAATAAATTTCATACAACACAAGACAGCATAGTTGTTGTTGCAAAATGAAAATTATTTTTCGAGTATAAATACATTTGAATAGTTACTTTATTGTGTCTGTGCTTCTTCACACAGATTAAATGATATACACCAATGAAATAGTTGGTGACTAATTATTTGAACAAAGTCTGTTTATATAATCCAAACTTGTTTACATAATTATTCATGGGGGTAGCCAAGTAATTTATCATAAAGGAGGAAGTAATATTTTAACAAAAAAGAAAAAGAGTGCATTAGTTCTGCGACCTCCCAATTGAGATAGATCAATAGTAAAGCACGCGTGCATTTGAAGTTATCTGCAACAATTGAAGCCAGATATGAAAGCATAGGGAAGAGAGTGTGATGTGAGTTCATGAATTTCACGCAATGAAATTTGCTGCGTTTCTTCAGCTTGACACGCATACATATGCAATGTTATGTTTATGTTTACCTTTTAATGTTGAATATTCTGAATTTCTGTGCTCTGCACTACTACACACAAGCATTTTATACGTTTACACAAAACAAAACAAATTTAACACTGATGAGAGTTCATGACAGTTTAAACTGAATTGACAGGTCATGTTGTCGTCAAGTTCATCTCACGTTCATGATAATATAAATAGGCCCACATACTTGTTTGAACTTTGTTGCTAAATGTGTGCGCTACAAAATATCCCATGGAAAATCGCATTTAATTTAGCATGAAATTAGAACAACTCGCACACGCCCTTAATAACCATTTCTTCCAATAACTGCATAATCACTGCGTTTGATTCGCAAGCTATCTTATTGAGACTATACACAATTCAAACTATGTCAGATAATTTTCCTTAACTACTTAACTATCTGCAGCTGTTGTTGTTGAACATAGGTTTGTTGTTTTCAAACTCTGTTGCAAAATTCGAGTTTTTTAGAATTTACATAATAATTTTTGTTTGATGAATCTCGCTCTAATTCATTTCAATTAATTTAAAGTTGTTGCTGTCAGTATATGTTGCTTATTATATATCATATTTATTATAACTGGCTACAGAATTTCTTATTTCTGAATTTTTATAGTAAACCTAATTTTATAATATTCTAACAAATCGTTACTTCACCTCAAGACAATGATGGTAATTTATTTCAAATTAAGTTGTTGTTTTATTCGATTTGCCAAGATAGCTTGCGAATTGAACGAGCAAAAGATAAAAATAATATGTTAAATGGAACTTTCATTTCAATAGACTTTCTTATTTTGTTCTCATTAGTTCTTATAAAAGCTAATTCTTCAAATCTGCCCGTTTTTCCTTAACTGTTGATTTTTTTCATTTCAATAACCTTTCTTCTTTTTTTTTTTGCTATTATTTTTTATAAATTCAAAATCTTGCTACCTTCTCCTGATCTGCTTCTAAACTACTACCACGGATAAGTTTAAAGAAGAAATTCTAACACTATTTATATCTTTTATATTATTTGATATGACTTCACTAGATTTTATTTAAAAGCGGTTGAGCAAGTTTAGGAACTACAATAAAAATTTTTATATTTTAATGTTAAAGAATTTAAATATGAATGACAAACTTTGGTTAGTCACAATTTTATGTTAGCACACACAGTATATATATATAACAAAAATATATGTTATAAAACAAAACAAATTTATATTATAAAATAAAAGAAATATAAACAATAAACAATGACAACTAAAAAAGCATTTACTTACGTTTAATTTTCTTAGCATATCTGCGACAATATTTAATGCAGTTGTGCGGGAACTTGCAGTCATTGCATTGCCATTAAGCAGATTATCAGGATCTTGATAGCTTTTTCCTAAACAAAACAATTTAACATACAAATTAGTTAACAAGCAACCATACTTTTAAGGATAAATTAATTATTTTAAGTGGTAATACTATTAATACATAAATCAAGTCTACGGACGTACACAAAACACATTTAACAAATCGTTTTAAAATTCTGAAATTAAATTAATAATAATAAAGATAGTAGAAAAATGATGTATGTAAATGATTTTTATTCAAAAATGGAATGCAAAATGTTTTTTTATATAATTTTACAAAAATAATACATTTTGTTTACACAATTACATCAATTATAACTTAATTTAAAAATATGCAATTTAAAAAAAATACTAATACTTCATTAAAAAATAATAATTAAAATAAAAATAAAATTAGAATTAGAATTTTTAATTTCAATACTACAATAGAAAAAATACTTAAAATACGAAATAAATGCTTTTATGTAGAAAATGCATAGTTTTTTTTATGAATGTACTATAAATGTGTTTCTGTGTAGTCCTGCATAATGCAAGTAAGTTTTAACAAATCATTATAAAATGATAAGATCATATTAAAGAATCTATAATTAATTTACTTGCTAGTAGACTTTGATTTAGATAATTTAAAAGCACGTTTGGTTTGTTTAAGTGAAGATAAAATCTTACTTTTTAACGATTGCTGTTCATTCAATTCGTTAATGTTCATTGAGCCACTGTTAATTGTAGTAGATGATTCATAACTTTTCAGATCACTTAAACTTACAGCTATACCATTTGGTATACTTCCAGTTGATGTATTAATTGCATTGTTAACCGCGCCATTTGATTGTGAATATCGTCCTTTAATATTTAACTCTTGTTTTAAGTCTAAAATAAGAGATATATTATTTCTTGATTCAAAAAATAAAATAATAAACTTTAAAATACCTCTCGTTTCATCCATTAGTCTTTGCAGTTTTTCTTGTAACATTTCTTTTTCATCCACTTCCAATTCGAGCAGTGCATTCTTTTCGTAGGCTTTATCGAGCATTTTTTCGAAATCTACAATGCTCTCGTTTAAAATACGATGAGCACGTTCTAAATCATCGTTCTTTTGTTCCAACTGCCTTAAATATTCTTTCATGGAATCACGTTCTTTCTTCACAGACTCTAATTGCTTTTCTACATTTGCAAAATCTAAATTATGAGAATCAATTTTGAGCTGAAAGAAAAGATGAATTTTATATATTAAAATTAATAGATATATTATATATTTATAATTTTTTAATTATTAAGCATTTTATTATATGTTTGACTAATAGTCTCGATATAAATATTTAACAATAATATTACTTCTTAGATTTTAAAAATAATTCGAACTGATCGAAACATTTGTTGTTGTTGTGCGGATCTGTTTGTAAAATCGCTTTTGAGGGTGGCGAAAACACTTGGTCGTCGGAATTGACGAGTGGGTCCGGGACGTTCTTGGAACCGATCGATGTATTTCGAGGAATTCGATGTTTGAATCAGATGTTCAAGCACACGTATTTGAACATCAAATGTTCGAAAATACTCGAACAATATCTGTGTTGCACTTGAGCATTAATGTATCTACAGCCGGTAACATGTACTTTGTACATGTGTACTTTCATATTATTTGTAAAAACATAAGATAATATGAATTTCCATTATATTTATCATAATAATAATAATTTATTTTTATTTATAATATTTGTAGACACATAACAAAACATTTGTTGTAGATAAAAAACAAATCTAAAATAAAATAAAACAAAGCGGAATTGCTACTCGGACTGCTTGAAGATGTTGAATTTTCGAACAGTCAAAATATTGAATCCAAATCTTCAAATTCGAATATACTCGAGCTGTTGAATCACTATCTTCTTAGGTAAAAATTCAACTTGAATCTTAAACTCAAAATAAACAAAATCAATTTTATTGATTTGAAAATATATTTGAAATCTGACGATATTCAGATTATCCTGAGGATTATACTATATGAACTGTTATTTCAACTATTTGATCTACAATTTCATTATTAGGAATTATTTTATTCTTATATATTATTTGGGAAAGTTTATTATTTAAATAAATTAAATTCTTGAATTGAATGATTTCAAAATTCTGTTACAGAACATAAATTTAGTTTTAATTTGGGAATACTCGAAACAACTGTATGGTCAGCCAAAAATTCAATTAATTAAAATAATGAAAAATTTTTGTTGTAAGTCAGTTCAGTTCGAAATCTCTCTTTAACATAAATTTAGCAAATATTAAATACATGAATAAATATTGCAGTATAACCACATATGTCAAGTATAAAATAGTACTCCAACACGAACTATTCGAAAACTTCGAACAATTTAATGTCTAAGTGTGCTTCTGCTCAAGCACAGCGATTCACTCGAAAATGTTTAAAAACTAGTTCGAACTATACCTGTTTAGCATAGAGCAAAACGAAAATAAGATAAAATAAACTTGTTATTCGAGTAGCTCGCACATCTTTAAACAGGTTCGATACTTTCGATTATTTGATATGCTTAATCCATATGTTCGAATTCGAATACACTTAAACACTTCAAGCAGTAGTATAAAATTTCATGTACTATTACTGACAGATGATTTGAATCCATGTGGTATATAGTTCATAATATTATTAACTTATCTAAAATATTGACAAATATATTGACATATTAATCGTAAAATTTAAATTAGACCTTCGCTTCAAATTGTTGTGGAAAGATAGGTTAGAGTGGATTTTGGGATTTTCTGAAAAAATGAAAAACGTTCAAAAAAAATTAAATACTAGAGACAATATATTTAATAGATTAAAAGTTAATGCATAATATAAAAATTTGATGCGTATTCTAAGATTTAAAATATATAAGAAACTAATTTTTTGAGTTGTTTGACAAAATACCATTAGACTAATATTGATTATGATATATAGTTATTTACAATTTTCTCTGTCTTGGATTAAGATATTACGTTTAATATGTATTCCATTAAACAAGAAAATGTTTTGATATAGCAGTACACATATTATGTAAGACGTGCTTTTTTTAAATCTTTGTTCGA